CGGACTTTCCCATCGCAGTCCGTTTTTTTATTTCCTGGCTGCTGGTGCCAAGAGTGTTGATCGTGAAGCCAAGGAAACTGAAGCTGTGAACAATCTCAATCTCTTCACCATCCATCCTGATGCTGCCAGTTGGTCCAGTGGTGAGAATCTTTGTCTTCTTGACATTGAGCCTCAATCCATACTGAAGGCTGCAGTCCTTGACCCTCTGCAGCAAGTGCATGAGGTCCTCCTCAGTTTCAGCAAGCGAGGTTGTGTTATCTGCATAACGCAGATTGTTAATAGATCTTCTGGTGTTGTTGCTAGTTACTTTGGTCTGTGCTATTTCTGTGACACCTCTGTAAGAAGCACATCTCTCATTGTTTTTTGCAACGCCGGTCTTGTTTGTTTTTACAAACTCTCTTAGGGTCTGGTTGGGTTGTTTGTTTTTTTTTTTTAAATATCTTCATCTTTCCTTTATATTTGATGGATAATTTTTATTGGGTACAGTATTCTTGGCTGACAGTCGTGTTCTTTGAGTGTTTGATATATGTCCTTTCACTGTCTTCTTGCTTGCGTGGTCTCTGCTGAGAAATTGTCATTTGTTCTTATCCGCTCTCCCTTATAGGTTACTGTTTTTTTCTCCCTTGTTGCTTTCTGAATTCTCCCCTTATCTTTGGTTCTGGCAATTTTAACTGTGGTATGCCTTGGTGTTTTTTCTTTTGGGGTCTATTCTATATGGTGTTCACTCAGCTTCTTGCATATATATTCTCTCATTCTTCATTTTGCCTGGAAAGTTTCTCTAGTAATTCTTCTACAACTTTTTCAGTGCCTTTATATGCTTCTTCCTGTTCTGGGATTCCAGTGATGTACATGTTATTTCTCTTGCTGGTGTCCCACATTATTCTTAGGTTTTCTTCTTTTTCCTTCCTTTTTGATTTTGCTTTTTGGTATAGCAGATGTACAGTAGTGGTACAATTATATCTTCTATTTCACTGGTTCTATGTTCCATCTCTTCAACTCTATTCCTGTGTCCCTCCATCATTTTGACAGCATCTGAAACTTTGGACCTTATATTTTGGATCGTCGTCTTTTGCTTTTCCACTGCCACTAATGCCTCTTTTGTTTTATCTGCATTGTTCTGGATTTTTTTAAGCTCCTCCTGGATTTTGCTTACAGTGTCCTGTAACAAGTTTGTCTTTAACTCATTGAAAATATTCAATCATTGTTCTTTTAAATTTTGTGTTAGAAAGTTCCATCAGACTTTCTGGCTTCGGCAAATCCATTGATACTGTGTCACCTTTTGGTGTTGACATCTTGCTTTGTGCTTGTGCAGGGTGCTGTACAGCTTGATAGTTTCTTGATCTGAAGACAGTGCTCTAGCAATCAATGGGGCAGCTACCCCCCTTGTTTTTGTCTGCACTTCTGACTCAAGGGAAGTTTTATGTCATGCCCGTGAGAGCTGCCTCTTGTAGCTAAGTCAGATCTAGGTGCTCCAGATTAAAGGCAAGTTGATTGACTGGACATGTAGGCATGGGTGAGGCTGAATGAGGGCACAGGCGTGGGACAACCACAAGGGCAGGTCAGTCACTTTTGGTAACCTACTTGGATTTCATCTGTCCAGGTTTGCTCACAAGTTGGGTCCTTACTCAAATTCCAGCTGTGTCTCCCACCCAGCAGCTTTCACTCAGTGGTCCTTGCCCAGCAGCAGGCTCCTGGGGCCAGCAGGGCTTAAGAAGACTCAATAAAATTCCCACTGATCTGCTTGCTACTGGCAGGTCAGCGGGGCTTAAGAAAACTCAATTTCCCATTAATCTGCTTTCTCCTTGTCCGTGGGTCCCACAGCAGCTAAGTTGGCATCTTCCTCTGGGGGGGCTGTGGCTCACTGCTCCCAAACTATTTTAATAAAAGTTCTGATTCAAATTCCTACTGTCCCCCTTGTGCCACCTTGGCCTCTGTGCACCACATCAGTCTCTCTGGTGGCCTATTTCTATGCAGCTTGCTGCTCCTCCAGCTCTTAGGCTATTTCCTTCACCACCACCATCTTGGAACCTTTTCCTCAAGTCAGTGTGATTTAACTTGCCTGCTGCTAAGTGATACATCTGTTCAATATGTCATTTAAATTTGGCAAAAAATGTGATGGGGAACCTTATCAATTGAGTAGTAGTAAGTTCTTTTGTATGAATAGTATCTATTATGAGTATCTTTAGTTGAGTATTGGTGGAAGAGAGGAAGACCCTCAATGAAATGGATGAAGCTCAGATATAACAGCGGTTGTCAGGGATCAGGGTAAAGTTTTATTCTGTTGTTCACTGGCTTGACTTGAGTTGGAGCTGATTTCATGAGACATAGCAGCAACAGTTGCAGCACATTAGATTTTTTTATAGTATATTAGCCAAGTACTAAGTATCATGAAACAGTAAATATGGTCTTTATGGAAAAATTAGCAATATTCAGCCACACTTGACAGACGAAGACATAGGTAACGCTTTTTTCTCAATGTTGTTGTTGTTGTTATGTGCCGTCGAGTCGCTTGCGACTCATAGTGACTCTATGTACAACAGCCCTAAACTCTGTTCTGTCCTGTGCCAGTCGCACTGTCTCTGACACTCCCATCCTGATTATCCCAGTCACTGAATCAATCCACCTCATAGAGGGCCTTCCTCTCCTGCGCTGTCCCTCCACCCTCCCAAGCATGATGTCCTTCTCCAAGGACCGTTCTCTCCTCACAACTTGTCCAAAGTGTGTTAGACGGAGCCTCAGAATCCTTGCCTCCAGGGAGCCACCCGGTTTAACCCTTTCCAGGACAAATCTGTTTGTTTTCCTAGCAGTCCATGGTATTCTCAATACTCTTCTCCAGCACCACAGCTCAAAGGCATCAATTATCCTTCTATCCTCTTTGGTCATTGTCCAACTCTCTGATGCATAACACGTGATTGCGAAGACCATGGCCTATATCAGACGCACCTTGGTCTCCAGAGAGACACCATTGCTCTTCAGTACTTTGGAGAGGTCCCTAACAGCAGACTTTCCCATGGCAATGTGCCTTTTAATTTCCTGGCTGCTGGTGCCAAGACTGTTGACTGTGGAGCCCAGCAAACTAAAGCTGTGTACAATCTCAGTCTCTTCACCATCCATCCTGATGCTGCCAAGTGGTCCAGTGGTGAGAATCTTTGTCTCAATGCATAAGAAATACAACTACTCTTTTCCCCCATTCTTAAAATTAAGGCATAATTTATATTTAGTAAAATACACAGACTTTAAAGAAAATTTCCACGTTGATAAATACAGATAAGCATGGAACCACATCTTAACAAGGTACTGTGTTACTGTTATCCTTTCATTCTTAAATTATAAGAGCTCCTCATATAGATAAAAATCCTTTTTCAGGTATGCATGAGAGTATTTCCTCTGTTGACAGCTCACTACTATTCATTTTTTTTTCCTTCAATTTTATTCTTTTTCTTTGTGTTTGTACCGTCAAATCAGATCCGACTGGTACAGGAGGATATTGCTCCTCCTTCTCCAGCAGAGCATCTGGTGGATTTAAACCTCTGGGATTGCAGTGCAGCTTCTTGCCACTAGGCCACCAGAGCTCCCTTACGTTGTAAAGATGTCTTTGATAGGCAGAGGCAGCAGGTTTTTATTTTCATGAAGATAATTTAATAGGTTTTTCTGTTATGGTTAATACTTTCCTCCCCCTCTTAGTAATGTTCCCTATTTCAGTGTGGTATTTTCTTATGTTTTCTCCTAGAATTTTTATCGTTAAATATCCTTTCCTCATTGAATTGCTTCAACTCCCTTGTTGCATATAACGTGATTGTTTATGTGTAGGCTAATCTCTAGAGTCTCTTCAGTTTCATTTCTTTTTTTTAAATTGTGATTCTAACAAGTTTACAGAAAACTTGGATTTCCATTCATTCATGCATTTATTCATTGTTGCACACTCCCCGCTCCCCCAGTCCACTTTGCCACGCACCTTAATCTGGACTGTTGTCATGCAAATAATGCCTAATCATATATTCCTTTTAAGCAGTTCTTTCCCTCCTCTGTTTCAATGCAGTGTTCATTATTTATCCCCGCTTTTCTTAGTTTTCCCCCCAACCTCCATGTCAGTCCTGTTTTATAACAGTGGCATTATGTATTTGTTCTTTTGTGACTGAGCTTCATTGATATTTTTATCAAGAGTTCTATGAAGTTTGCTGTCTTGATCACTGTAATTTTAAAGTCAATCTTGAAATCATGTAGTAAAGCTTCTCAGCTTTACTTCCCTTTTTAAAAAATAAATTATTTTAACTCATGCATCTTGGTATAAATTTTAGAATCAATTTGCTCATCTCCATGGAGTTTTTAATAAACAAAATTACTTATTATTGTTTTTAAATATACCTTCATTAGTTTCTCTCAGCAGTATTTTATGATTTTCCATGTAGAAATCTTAGATTCTTTATGATCACATTTATTTGAAATACATGGAGGAGGAAATATGCATAGAGACAAAAATGTATTAGCATTAACAGGGATTTGGAGAAGACTGGAAGAATTACTGTTGTGGAATATTGAGATTTTATTCTGGGTACTGGAAAATAATTGTTTAGCCTGGTAAATGCAGTTGTCACAAAACTATGCACATAAAAGTGATTAATATAGCTGACAGACTTCACCAATTAAATAATTTTTGTGTAGAATTTTCCCTGTAGGAAGTTTTAAGTGTGGTCTAGTCGTGTGTAGGTGAGTGATTTGCCAAGTAGATGGTGGTGGAGCTATTTGAGAGTGAAACATGCATATTCATCCCTCATTTGGGAAATAACAATGCCTACCTTTTTTATCTACTTCTAACTGAATCGTTTAGTCTTGTGTATAATAATATGCATCCTTGTGGATACTTCACCATTTGGTAAGGAATATTGTTTCACGTTTTTAGAAGACCTTTCTTTCTCAAGTGTTAAAATCCAAAGCAATGAAAAACAAGTAATTGACCCAGTCTGAAATTACAAAATATTGACTTGGATTATCTTTTTTAGGTTTCTGATATAGAAGAGCTTACCCCACCAGAGTGCCTTGCAGATCTTCCACCATTTTCAAGATGTTTAATAGGAATAATAATGAAGACTTCTGATGTGGTCAGGTAGTTTTCTGTTTACTGTCCTAAAACGCATACTGTGCTGCTTAGCTCTCCTGTCAGTTTTACCTTATTCTTTTTACTCCTAAAATGTTTCCATGGTTAAATTCTATGAAGGTGGTGGGAATAGGGGTACCAAACCATCTCTTTTTTATTAGCCATTTAAAATATTTACACCAAATTTAAACAAAGAGAAATTCTATCTTTCTGTGAAATATATTCATCGGAATTCCCTCTGATTATGTTTATAATATTCATACATTTTGCATTTCCCCCTCTACATTCAGTTAGAGGGAAACATTTAAAACATCAATGTGTGGTAAAAGACTTCTTATTAAATAATTTTAAAGCACTTAGCCATTGTGATTTTCATTCAACCTACCACTCATTACCATTCAGTTGTCTGACCATTTGCCAGTTGACTAAAATTCTCTATTTTTTGTGCCACATACACAGGTCTGACTAATTATAGATTGAATAGTTTTGCAGTTATCTAACCACTTGGGGAACTTTGATAGAGATATTTTCAGTTATAAGTTCTAAAGTATTATTTTTGGTAGCTATGAATTTCTCAATACAATATCAAATTCTTTTCTCGTGTATGTTCTGTGATTATAGAATTACTTACTAAACTATTTCTACTCTCTTACTTGCAACATCATTTGATTTTAATGTCTTGTCTATGATTTGGCACACTTATAGGAATAAAAAATGGAAAAAATTTAATCAGCATCCCTTATTGATGAGCCTTTGCTGTATTTGTACTTCTGTAAAGTAATAGTGCATGTATAGTTTACTAATGGATTAATGTTTTACAGGTCCTTTTTAGATGAGCTAAAGACGTGTGTTATTTCAGATGAGATTGAAGGCATTGTGTGTCTCACAGCTGTTATGCATATTATTTTGGCTATTAATAAAGGTTGGTAAATTTCTCTCTCATGCCATCTGGGATACTGTCAGATACACATTGCATAAGGAACCTTGGGGTATAGTAGTTAATGATGCTAACCAAAAGCTTGGTAGTTTGAACCTTCCGAAGTGGCTCCATGGGACGAAAAGCCTGGTGATCTGCCCTATTAGAGAGTAAAGCGTAAGAAACCATACAGGGCAGTCCTGCCTTGTCCCATAGGGTCACTGTGAGTTAACTGCCTGAGTCACAAAACACCCCTTTACACAAAATTGTTATGAAGGATTTAGAAACTCAACTCATGGACTGCTTCCCCATTTGAGACCCTAGTCACGCCAGGCTTCTCAGAATTCCTTTACATACCATATTTCTTCAGGCTCTTTGAACTTGGACTTTCTTTACTTGGCTGACTCAGTACTTGGTTTTATACCAGCTAACCCTCTGTAATGCATTTCCTGTGTACCTTTCACCTTTGAGCATGAGGTGCCTTTAAGTATTCCCATTCTTTGCTCTTTGAATTTCTATAGATTTGTTGTACGCTTGTGATTTTAAAATCTGGTTTTGTTTTTGTGAATGTTTGCATGGTATTATTTATTATAACATCTGTTTGTCTTAAAACTTAACTTTGAAAAAAAAAACAAACCCTTAACTTTGTCTATTCTGAATATACCAGTCAGTTAAACTCACACAGGAAAAATAATTGGTGATTAAAAAAAAAAAATTCATATAAGATAACATCCTTTTGGTTTTACTCCCTTTAAATTTTTATATATTTTACTTATTATACTGATGTGGTGAGTGCCTGCTAAGGTAGCCTGTTAGAGATAGTGGTCTTAATGAAACACGTTCATTCCATAATCCAGATTACATAGATTATCTGTAGATTTTGTTTGTTTGTTTTTAATAGTATTTTGTAGCTAGAAGAACCTTGATAGGGCATCAGAAAGCCCTTTCCTAAAGGCATGACCCTTGACCACTGAGTTAAGATGCAAAGAATGAGGAAAAATTCACAAATACATCAGTTTGAACGTAGTGGTTGGGGTGCAGCTATGTATCTGGTATTTATTAGATACTTCGTAAATATTTCCTAAACCGTCACCTCTGAAATAGTAGTTGTCATTCTCTGGCCTGTTAAGTCTATGGTAGCATACACAGAAGTATCCTCATAATCACTTGATCTGATAATATGCACTTTGAACTATAGTTTGTAAATTGATTGTTGGTAGGTCCTGTCATGTCTACTGTGACTCATAGCAGCTTTGTGAAATGCAGATCGGACCATTACCCTCTCCTGTGCTATCCTCACCGTCTCTAATGTGCTTAAAGCCATTGTTATAGTCACTGCATCACCCTATTTGGTTGAGGATCTTCTTTGTCTCACCTTCCACCTTTCCCCGCATGATATCTTTCCCCAGTAAATAGCCCCTCCTGACAGCATGCCTAGAGTATTATGTGAGACTAAATTTCAGCATTTCTGCGTCTTAGGCACACCCTGCTTGAACTTAATATAAGGCAGATTTTTTTATTTTTATTTTTGTTCTTTTGGCAGTCCATCGGATATGCATTCAGCAATCAAACACAACTCAAAGGCGTTGATTATTCTGTCATCCTTGTTCATTGTTCAGCTTTCAAATGCATAAGAAGCAATTGAAAATACCATGACTTGAATAATCAGCTTTATAGTTGATTAGCTACTCTCATATATCTTCTTTTGATGTCTACAGTTTTCCTGTGAAGGAGATAATTACTGTTCTAAAAATCAACAGGCCAACATAAAAAGAAAATAAAAGGACACTCAGCACTATAGAAATTGTGCTCAGATGTATAGGAAGTTATATTTGTTTTGTGTAGTAGTGCTAAACTCTTTTCTTTCCCTTGTAATATAATTTTCTAATAGGTAAACAAAAAATCTCAACAGTGAAGGAAGTTGGATTAATTATTCAAGGAAAACTGAAGACATTCATGGAGATAAGTTTTCAAGAGGATAGCATTGAAAGGTAAAACCCAAATCCAAAAATCCACTCCCATTGAGTGACCTGGATTGAGGTTCTGAGGCTATAAATATTCCTGGGAGGAGATCACCTATCTTTTCTTCCATAGAGTAGCTGGTAGATTTGAACTGCTGACCTGTTTAGTGGGCTATTGCCCACTATGTCTTTTTTACTGAAAGTTAAAGAGCTAGATAAATTCCATGCACACGTCTCTACAAATAGAATCTTGTTCAGGTGTGTTTTAGATTGACTTCTTAATTCTGCAGCTTATAACTAGGTGTTTAGAAAACATGAAAATTGTAAGGATAAAAATGTTTGTTTACAAAATCCTTTGAAGCATATGTTTAACCTACAAAATTCTGTTTTTAAAAAGTAAAATTGCTTGTAAAATTCTGCTCTAGAAAAGTAAGGACATTGGCACTTATATCAGTTTGTAGAAAAGTATTAAGAAATCAAGACAGATTATTTTTGGTTTTGCATTAAGTTATTTTTAGTGAGCTTCCTTAAGATACACATGGCAAGTCCACAAACCTCCACATCAGGATTAAGAAAATTCCCTCCAGAGATAGAAATTGTGTTTGATTCTTAGATCAACCACAAATGTAGTCCCCTCACCCCCACCTTTACTATTTCATGGGCTAAATAAAGTTAACTGTTAGCTCAAAACTAAGTACACTCCTTCTAGCTGTTGTATATACACCTGGAAAATGGACCCTTCTTGTAATTACTTTCTCCTTTGCAAAAGTTTTCAAAGAATAAACATCTAAAGTGCATTTTTTTATACTATTTATGTATAGATACAAATATTAGTGTTTTTAAAAAGGCAATCCTTTTAGCCTTTTACCATTTGTTAGGAAATTAAAAAACAGGTAGTTTAAAAATATACATGTGATCTATTAATTTAAATATATATCACAAGGAAACTCCTGGATTATTTTTATGTGCTCTTGAAAAATTTGTTCAACTATGAGTAATACTTTTACTTTGTGTGTTGCTAGTAAATCACACCTTGTATTATAAGAGTTCGACTCGCAGGGCTTTATGCTTTCCAGTTCAGTTTCTTTCACTCACAATTGCACACAGATATTCAGTGGAGTTTTGTTGTGTATCTTCCACTCTCTTGCTTCAGTGCCACTCCAGGTACCTAGTCTGTTTAACTCTAAAGCCCTTGTCAAAGACTTCATTCTCTTAGACTTACTGTAGTAAAACTCAGAAACTCAAACTCATTGACATCAAGTCAGAACTATCTCCTAACTTGGTTTTTTGGAGACTCTCAATTACATGGGAGGAGATTGTCTGTCTGTCTTCCTCAGCACCACTGGTGGATTCTAATCAGCAGAGAGGCACCACTTTTGGCTTCACAGCACAAGTCTATACTGACTGCTTCACCAGTATTCCCTTTTGTTACATATGGAAAATAAAATCCCTAATTTATTTAAAACAGACTTAACTACCTTCAAGTCAGTTCAGACTCATTGGGATCCTCCATCTAAATACGCTTTTAAATTCTCACAAGTAACTCAAGTGCATTGGTAGCAGGAAAAGAGGAAGAAAAATCTTAAGTGGACATGTTTAGTTGTAAAATAATGAGATTGATTGCTATAAGATAATGTTGAAAGCCATTCTGAAAAGATTCCAGGGATGTTTCAAATACATTAGTATTGGACAGCTACAGCTCCTTTGAATACCATAGTATTACATGGTAATAATCTCATAATTTCAAGCATTTTCTTTTTTTTTTTTTTTTAATTCCAAGCATTTTCTAAGATGATTTTTTAGAACTAACATTTTCAGGAATTTTTTTGTTTCCTTAGGATATGAAATTGTATGTCTTAATAAAAAAAAAAAAAGATTTGCTTTTCATTTTCAGTTGCACATAGTTGCAAGGTAAATAAATAGTTCACACTGTGAGAGAAAAATAGCTTGATAATGTAAAAACTTACACTACAGAAAAGGATTTAAACCTGTGGGAGTGTAATTGTTTTGTACGTTGTAGTACAATTATGAGTATCTGTCCTCTCTATTACACTAACACAAAGAAGCAAGGAGGGGAAAAGTTCTTCCCTTTATGGAGGAAACAACCCCCCCAAAAAATTATTAGGACATTGGAATAATGGTTTCTTGCTTAAATATCCAAGCAATAAGATGTAGAGGAAGTAATGTCTGACAAAATCAATCTTCTAAAATATAAACAATTAGAATTTAAGGCTGTGTTTTAAAACATCATTGATTTAATGTTGGACTTGAGACTTTCAAACAAATATAACACCTTTAAGATTCTGTAAATTCTGTGGTACAGTTAGCATGGGCGTTAATTTGGAAGCAGTGTTTTCTTAGCCATTTACTTCTCTTTCCAGCTGATTTAATACTTTGTCAACTGAACAATTTGATGAGTACTGAACAAAATGTTTTTCATTGCGTTTTAATCTCTTTACTCAGAATACTGTACTGTAAATTTTGCGTATTTCCTCATGAGCAACAGTAAGAATTTGTCAGTACACTACTGCACGTAAATGTAAAAAATGTTGTATTTATTACTTCCATAATAGCATGAAGATAGAAATAAAATTATAATTTAAAGTTTGAGAACTGTAGATACTTCTTAACATTTAAGTTACAAAGTGAATTTTATTTTTACTAAATTAATTATAAACAGATTACTTGCCAGTATAAATCATGCTGATATACACAGAAATTTTAATAGTATTAGAATTAAGTTATCAACATTAAACCTTGTTATTAGGATTGAAGGAAAGTAATACATACTCCTTGAAAAGATTTTTGTTAAGAAGACAGTCTTTTCTTAATAATGCATTCTCATTTTATTCTTTTTGATTTTTTTAAAAAAGTATATTGAGACTAGATTATTTTTACAGTTTATTTTAAAACATGCTTCCTAAATCAAGAATAAGACATAGATGCCAATTCTTTTCAATATGGTACTGGGATTTGTAGCCAGATCATTAGGTAAGGAAAATAAAGACACCCAAATTGAGAAAAGTAAAACTATTTGTATTATCAGATCTTGTATCTAGAAATGTCTGAAGACTGCACCTACCCCCTTTATTTAATATGCTTTAATATATATCCAGTGGAACCCACTATAATCAAGTCAGTTCCAACTTTGAGTGATCCTTCATTTGGTTACCGAGACTATCTGTCTATGGAAGGAGATCCCTCTCCCCCCCAGTACCAGGTGGATCTGAACCTCTGACCTTTTGGTTATGAACTGCTGACAATGTAACATACTATATTACAAGAGCTGCATGTATGTGTGTATAGAGTTTATCACACACACTCTAAAGGAATTTGGCAGAGTTGCAAGATACAAAATTAATTAGCTGTATTCTTTTATACAATGACATGAACCAAGGGAAAATTAAGAAACTAATTATGTTTATAATAAAAATATAGAAAAGAATAAAATAGTACATACTTTGGAATAAATTTGAGCAAGTTTAAGACTTACACAGTGAAAATGATAAAACGTTGCTGAGTGAACTGGAAGAAGACCTAACTAAATGAAGAACATCTCATTCGTGCTAATTATGATGACCATAGGAATGATGATAGTGGTCACCATTTACTGAGGGCTTCCTAGCTACTGTGCTATATGTTATCTATGTATGACCTAATTTAAACAATTCTATAATGATAGGGCATTTTACTCCTTTTGACATGTGAAAAATAATTACATGTGATTTCAGATGTGTGTGTGTGTGTGTGTGTGTGTATGTGTGTGTATGTGTGTGTTTATGAAACGGACTTATATAAATGAGGCTTGATTTTATTGGAAGGAGAGAAAACAAATTTCCAGGAATGCAAGGTAAGCAAGTAGAGGGAAAGATTTTTTGGAGTAGGGAATTTGAGAAAAATCACAAGATCTTTGCTCTCTTCTCTCTTTTTTTACCAAGGTCCCTAAATAAATTGGTAGTAAAGAATTTGATGTCAAGTCAGTTTTCTTTTTAAATACATCTGGTTAAAAACAATTTTTAGATTGTATGTTGCAGAAAAGTAAATTTGGATAATTCATTTCCTCCCCTCCTTGTAGCTAATTCTTTCTTTGTGTTTTTAGGTATCTCTGTGAATCATCTTTAAAAACACTGAGTGAATTTTTGAATTAATGACCAAGCAAGCATCTTTGGACAGGGAAAATTGTACAGAAAAAGACTTTTAAAACATTTGAAATAAATGTTTATTTTCCTAGTGTATTTAAGAACCTGTGTACCAGAAAAGGGGTGGGATTCTTTTTTTTTTTTTGCTGAATGTAAATAGACAATTCAAAAGCTCTTTGTATTTGTCCATTACCTGCCTAAGGGATTATTTAATTTGTTAACGCCCAGGTAGGTATCAATGGTGCAGAAATCTATGGTGCAAAGAAAGAAAAGGACATATTTTCTAAGTAAACAATATGTGTGTGAATACATACACATGTGTTTGTAAGCTGTAATAAAACAGTGACACATCATTTGTATTTTAGTATATATTTTTTCCTCTATAGACAAAGATTGATTTCTCAGATAAATGCCATCTCTTTAAACCTGTCTTGTACAGAAGGAGAAACGAATGTATATAGCAAAAAATAGAATGGCTGAGGGTATGTATGCCAGAAAGCTCAGAGATGGCTCTTCCATCTGTATTCCATTACAGTAAAGAACAGCAATGCAGCCTCCTTTTTTTCTTCCCTTTATAATGCCTTTATTGGATGTTGAGCCTTGAGTCCTGTGGCTATAGAACATGAACAGCAAAGAAATGAAGTCCTTTAGCCTGAGGCATGTCTCTGTTAGTCTTTTATCTTTTTGTTCTGAGAGCTCTTGCAGTTATAAGAATGGTAGGTGCCAGGGGAATGGAGGAGGGATGTCAAGCCTTCCTCTGTGTGATGCCCATGACCCTGCTTTGCCAACCCTGTGGTTACCTGCCAGATTCTGTAGCCTGTGGACCTTGCTGTTCTGTGGAGCCCAAATGAATGCCCAGCTGACCCAGGGGGTTTTCAGAGGCAGAAAACTGCATGAGAGAAGACGGCCTATTTTTCTCCCACCAAGTAGTTGGTGGATTGAACTGTGCGTGTTGGGGTTGGCAGCATAGCAGCTTCCCCCTAGGCCACCAGAGTTCCTGTGTGGACCCTGGTAGCCACCTTAACAGATGGAAAGCCAGTGATGTTTACATTTCTTGCTTATCCTGTGTCCAGCTCTTAAGCACAATAAACAAATACCAGTTTTTTTTCATTGCCTGTGTTTCTCTAAGGTACAAGAAATTACTCAATGTAGTTAAAAAGAATACAAAGTAGGCAGTGCAGTCGCCAGGCAACCTGGTCTGGTTGTGCTGCAGCTCGACGCTTGTAACTCGTGGCAAGGCTCTGGCTGCAGGTGGAGCAGCTGCTGCAGTATCATCATGAGAGGTACCAGGACATCTTTGTATTCCCTCATCAGACTCATGGCAGTGTGCTGGTGTTGGACGGCGTTATCCAGTGCACCAAGAGTGATGAGTTTAACCAGAAGATGATTGCCAGCCTACCCTTTGCAGTCACCACAACCCTCACAAGGTGCTGATCATCGGGGGTGGGGATGGAGGTGGCCTGCAGGAAGTGGTCCAGTGTGAAATCGATGAGGATGGCATCCAAGTCTCTTCAGTTTCTTCCAGGCATGGCGGTTGGACACTGCAGCTTAAAGCCGAGCCTGTATGTAGGTGATGGTTTTGAATACATGAAACAGAACCAGGATGCCTTCAGACCCCTTGGGCCCTGCCAAGAACCTCTTCAGAGAATACTATGAGCTCATGAAGACAGACCTCAAGGAGGATGGCGTTCTCTGCTGCGGGGGCGGAGGGGAGTGCTGGTGGCTGTACCTGAGCCCCAAAGGGATGCACCATCTCCTCTTTCTTGTGGCGGCCTCCCCTACTGCACCATCCCCACCTACCCCCATGGCCAGATCAGCTTCATGCTGTGCAGCAGGAGCCCTAGCACCAATTTCCCAGAAGCCAGAGCAGCAGGTGGCCGGTGGGGGGGGGGCAGGCAGCCAAAGCACTACAATGCAGATATGCCCAAAAGGCCTTGAATTGTGTGAGCTGAGCACGGAGCTGCTGTTACCACTACCACCCCTCAGAATGCTGCCCTCTTGGGCAGACACTGTATGTGTGCCGCCCAGCCTCCAAGCCTATACCAGCTCTATACAGCACCTTCTCTGCCTTCTGTCACCCCTCACTCACCAGATGTGTATTTATAACAAAGTTCTGGATTGGGGTTGAGGAGAGTGTTACAAAATAATAAAAGTAACATTTTATCAAGAGATACTAGTAAATAGCTAGTGAAGTATGGAGTAATGTTCTAGTTTATTTTAGCTAAGTTTGAAACTGACTATCCAGATATCTTTGTTTGATGTGTTTTGTATGACTCATAAGAACATATAACAAAATTATAAACTTCACTTACATACTAAAGCTCCAATTAACCCATGATCAAATTATTACCTTTCAGTTCTTTCATACCATATATTAGTAAATTTTTTATTTTCACGTAATAGAGATTTTTTAATTTCCTGGCTACTGATGCCAAGAGTGTTGACTGTAGAGCCAAGCAAACTAAAGCTGTGAACAATCTCAATCTCTTCACCATCCATCCTGATGCAGCCTATTGGCCCAGTGGTGAGAATCTCTGTCTTCTTGACATTGAGCCTCAATCCATATTGGAGGCTACAATCCTTGACCCTCTGCAGCAAGCGCTTCAGGTCCTCCTCACTTCAGCAAGCAGGATTGTGTCATCTGCATATTGCAGATTGTTGATAGGTCTTCCACCAATCTTGACCCCCAAATTTCTCCTCATAGAGCCCATCCTCCCGGATAATCTGTTCTGCATACAGTTTGAAAAGGTATGGAGACAGAACACATCCCTGGCATACACCCTTCCCAATTTTGAACCCTGCTCTGTTCTGATGACTGCCTCTTGATCCCAGTATAGGTTTCTCAGCACAATCAAGTATTCCGGGATTCCCATTCTTCTTAGAGTCAGCCATAGTTTTTTTATGGTCCACACAGTCAAACACCTTTGCATAATCAATGAAACACAGATATACATTCCTCTGGTGCTCCCTGCTTTCAGTGAACATCCAGCTAACATTAGCTACAATATCCCTAGTACCACGACCCCTTCTAAAAGATGTATTGCGATGGGAAAGTCTGCTGTTTGGGACCTTTCCAAAGTTCTGAAGATCAATGGTGTCTCTGGAGACTAGAGTGTATCCAATATAGGCCATGGTCTTTTCAATCACTTGTTATGCATCAGAGTTGGACAATGACTAAGGAGGACAGAAGGAGCATTGGAGCATTGATACCTTTAAGCTGTGGTGCTGGAGAAGAGTATTGAGGGTACCATGGACTGCTAGGAAAACAGATTGATCTTGGAGAGGATTAAACCAAGCTACTCCTTGGAGGCAAGGATTCTGAAGCTTTGTTTAACATACTTGGGACATATTGTAAAGAGGGACCGGTCCTTGGAGAAGGACATCATGCTTGGGGGGGTGGAGGGACAGTGCAGGAGAGGAAGGCCCCCTATGAGGTGGATTGATTCAGTGACTGGGATAATCAGGATGGGTGTGTTGGAAACAGTGCGATTGGCACAGGACAGAGCAGAGTTTAGGGTTGTTGTACATAGGGTCGCTATGAGTCACAAGTGACTCAACGGCACATAACAACAATAGAGATTTTGGCAAAATTTTGTGGGACTTAACATGTCCCAAGTGGACTCTTGATGGTGAGAATGGTGGTCTGAGGTCTATTTCTTCAGATTTAGGAGTCTTTAAGATAAAACCTTCCAGTAGAGAGAAAGATGGACATTTTGTAGTTATAAAATAGTTAACGAGAAAATGTAACAATCATATAAGGAAAACACTAACAATTACAGAAAAAAATAGCACTAGGTAATAGTTTGAGTCTGTTCTCATGATATGTCATTCTGAATATTGGATAGAACATTTAGAACAATAAGGACCTAAATGACCCTACATACCAACTAGACTTAACAGACATTACCCTCAACCATAGTAGAAGTGAGCCGGATGAGGCAAGGTTTCAGTCTGCTGTTTATAGGGTTGCATGCGTAGAGTTGGATATGATAGCACCCAACAACATTGTACAGCTATGGGGTCAAGCACAGTTGCACTTGTGAAGGTGGGACAGGACCAATGTTTAATCCCATTGTATGCAGACACTGAGTTGCAGCTAACTCAATGGTTGTTACATGCTGTTGAGTTGTCTGTGAGTCAGCGACCCTGTGTACCACAGCTCTAAACCTGCTCTATCCTGAGCCAACCTTATTGTCTCAGACACACCCACCCTCATTACCCCAGTCACTTAATCCATCTCATCAAGGATCTTCTCTCTTGTGCTGTCCCTCCATTCTCCCAAGCATGAGGTTCTTTTCCAAGGACTGGCCCTTCCTTGCAGCATGTCCAAAGTATGTCAGACAAAGCCTCAGAATCCTTACCTCTAGGGAGCAGCCTGGTTTCACCTCTCTATGAAAAACCCATTTGTTCTCTTGGCAGTCCATGGTATATTCAGGACTCTTCTCCAGCACCACAGCTCGAAGGCATTTTTTTATCATCCCTAGTCACTGTCCAGGTTTCTGATGCATAGCAAGTAATTGTGAAGACAATGGTCTGGATGAGGTGCACCTGACTCTCAGACTGATGTCATTACTTTTCAGTACTCTGGAGAGGTCCCTGACAGGAGCCTTTCCCAATGCAATTCATCTTTTTAAATTTTCTGGCTGCTGGTACCAAGAATGTTGGTTGTGGAGCCAAGCAAACTAAAACTCTTAACAATCTCAGTCTCTTCACCGTCTTTCATGATACTGCCAATCAGCCCAGTAGTGAGAATCTTTTTTTGATGTTGAGCTTCAATATTGAAAGCTGCAGTCCTTGACCACCTGCAGCAAGCACTTCGGGTCCCTCTCAGTTTCAGCAAGCTGGGTTGTGTCATCTGCGTAACACAGGTTGTTGATTCCTCCTCCAATCCTTATACCACACTCCTCCTCATGGAGCCCAACCTCCTGGATGATTTTTTTTTCTGCATATAGATTGAAAAAGTATGGAGATAGGAAACATCCCTGGCATACACCCTTCCTGATTTTGAA